TATTATTATGTTGTTGCTGAAAAGCATATTGATATTGCTGTGAGTATTTTTTTCCCTGGTGAAGTTATAACTATTGAAATAAATGAAAAAGATGATGCTAAATTTCAACTGTGCTTTTATTCTGTGTTGGTTAAAGATGTATCAATACAACAATTCAATTTCAAACATTTTTGAGTATCTACAACCATATGCAGTTATTTACTATTTTCTACTATACTCTGATAATATTTAGTTGTAGCAATAACTATGACAACTATTTTCCTTAAAAAATTATATTAAAAAATATTAAAATAATAGCATGGTCTAATTTGTAAAATTGTAAAATATAGTACTAAAAGTAGTAAAATTGGTGAAAAAAGATTCCAAAAATATTCTTTGAAGTTTGAAAACGTGTAATGGTTGAAGAAAAATTATTCAAATTTGATGTAATAATCACTGCAAAATAAATTTGAAAATGAATTTTTCAATGCATCCAATATTTATGAACACAAAATATTTTACCGGTTATAGAACATCAAAATGAGATATAAAAGACTTGAAGCTATCAACAATATAAAATAGTAAAGAAAATAATTTTTAAGTTTCAAAATCAAATCACACCAACAAAGTTCCGAAAACATCACCAAAAAAGTCATTTAAAAAAATCTTAAATCACGCGAATGGAGTATTTGAGTATTGCATATATAAGTAGTTCAGAAAATGCATGCAATATTAAGTTTTTTTCCATCATCGATGAAATGTACATTTAATTCACAACTCAACACTGAATTAGGGTTTTCAGTTGACGAGCCTCGATTACAGCCTTAGATTCCAAACACGACACGTCTCACCAGCAAAACTTCTTCTTCTGGACAAAAACGAAATTTTGGCGAACGTAAGTGCAAATATAACATGAGATTAAGTGAAATTTATGGGTAACAAAAACCAAAAAATGTACTTTGCTGGGGGGGCATTTGCAAATTTTGGAAGAGAACTGTTCGACTTAAATGTAATTAACACTAATCCATTAATAGAAAACAAAAATGATAAAATTAACGTTAATTACCCGGTACTTTGCTTCTTCTTGACTGTCTATGTAAGCCAACAGCTCCTCTTGTTTCATCAGGGCCTCATAAAGAGCCTGTACAGAGGATAAATTTTACTCTCGTTTGCTTTTGTTCGTAAACAATATGTTGGGATAAATAATATTCTTCAAAGGAAAATAGGTCAGAAATTTATAAAAGCAAGCAATATGAAACATTTCTTAAACATAGCAACAGATAAATCAATTATAATTTCAGGAAGTCTTAACTTATGGACTGATGATTTCCATTTCAATATCAACACATATTCGAAACTCTATGAAAAGTCACCATATTAGACATGTTGTTGTTAATTTTATTCCGCAAGATTTGCGTATTCTTACTGTACTACTAGTTTCTGGTTAATTATAATAATCTTTTTATAGCTTATAACTACAATAACCCATCCATTTCTTCTAGAAATAACAAATTTTTGCAATCATTGCCTACTACACTAAGGCAAATAATTGTGTTACCTGACAAAAAAATCGGTTTTTTTTTTTTCTTTCATTTTTCAATTTTGGGGGTTTTCCATACACAGGCTTGTAATTTTGTTTATTTTTTCAAGGAATTCATAGGGTATTCTCAGGTTCTCTTTTTTTACCTATCAGTTATCTTCAGATTAATCTATTTCTTGGCACTTCTGTTAATTTCTTTCTAAATGGAGATAAACCTCAACAGAAAACAAAAAAAATAAAAAATAAAAAATAAAAAGTAAATCCAGCCAAACAGCAAAAGAGCATAAAAATAGACCTTTTTGGTGGCAATCAACTCAGCCTCGAGAGCATCCACCCGATAAACGGCAGCATTGAGTAGCTCCTCTTTCTCGCACGGCATTGCAGAAGGCCTCGATTCCAACAACCCCACTTTCTCCTCGAGCTCTCCAAGCTTCTTCATCACTGTCGAAAGCACCTCGGCTTCAGTGAACGAACGCATGGGAGATGGAGGCCTCAGCTCCTCCTTAGGGCCCGTCTCGAAACTAAATTCCTCATTCGTCTGCACAGGAGCTTCCGGAAGCTTCCTCGCAGCACGGCTCGATAGTGAACGGAAAAACAAGAAAAGGGTCATGAAGAAGGCCAGAAGCCGCACGTGGATTTTTTCGGGAGCCTTCTGTGAGTCGGGGGTCGGGAGAGTATCTGGTGTAGAGTAAGGACGAATATTAGAGTCTTGATGAAAAAAAAAAGGGCAAGGGTTAATTGCGAAAATAGCCTTGAGCTATGGTCCAATTGCAAGAAACACCCTATCAATAGGTTATTATTTTTAAGTGTACTTTTAATAATAGTTTTGTAATTTCGGAAGTCGCAACGTATGGCAGTTCGTAATTTTGAAATTATGATGAAAATATGCTTTTCCACCTCAAATGTTGTTTTTAGTGCGAAACCATTTTTTTTTTTTCGTACACATTTACTAGCTTTTTCTGTTGATTTGTTAATTTTGGTATCTATTTAATATTTTTCACGGTTAAACTTTGTTTGAAAACTCAATTTTTATGAGGAAAATATGTTTCCCACTTTAAATGTTGGTGTCGTGAACCAAGTTTTTTCAGATAAGGTAAATCTAAAATAAACGTTAAGTAGGACTTAAACTAAATATAGTTTAGAGAATGAAGGATAACAAGAATAGGGAAGATAAGGAATAGGAGATTATATGATAAAATACAATTCAAATAATTATGTTTGAAAGTCCATACTAAAGTAGTAAAGTGCAATTGACCTCTAGAAAGATGGAGCTTTTGTTGGAAAGTGTCTTTCTTCCATCCCGAGTCGACAGCCTTATCAACCATGGGGACATAATCGTCATATCCAGAATAGCCAGTTCCAATAGCCTTTGCCTGTAAGATATTTTCATACTTACTATCAAAAGTATTGGGAGAATGTGAAATCAAGTAATGAAATAACCTTCAAAGTAGCAATAGCAAAAATATGTATATAAATAGAAAGGGCACCGAACAAATTTCTTTTGCTAAGTCAATGTAGAATAATTTGAGATGGCAAGTTTTTTTTTTTTTTTAAAAAAAAAAGGTATGGTCGATAGTGTATGCAATTTTATATTGGGCAATTCATCTTAAGTTCTAAACAATTGGAAAAATCACTCGAGAAGGCAAATTACTTGAATGTTGAATCTAATTCTATTCAAACCACCGAGCAAAAGTTATCTTTATTTGAAACAATAAGCTTAAAACCGTACCTCCTCACGAACTGGTGTCAAACGAAGGTGTGAGTAACTCTTAGTGGCTTTGGGTGAAGCAATGTCTTCAGCTTCGGATCCAGACTCTGCTGTAGATGTATCACTACCTTTTACCTGTAACCAAAAAAAAAAAATCGATGAACTTAACTTATTAAGATCACTATGCCTTAAAAGAGAAAGTAAAAAACTAAATTAAATTAAGACGAAAGAAACATACCATAGAATAATGAGGCTTTGCATATACTACCTTCCCGTCACTGTTGATGATCTTAACAACTTGCCTTGCACNAAAAAGAGAGAGAGAGAGAGAGAGATGCTACACTAAATAGTAAATATAATCAATTAAATATTCAAATAATCGGTGGCTAATAATGAGGACCTTAAGTATCTCTGGATTCTTCCATGGTCCTTTATCAGAAAGAAGGCATCCTCCTTGGTCCGCGCAAGTGCACATTCCTCCCAAAAAATTGGGCAATTGGCTGAACAAGCCAAAGGAAAAGAAAAAAGATCAATAATTGTTCAGACTAGGAATTTCAGGGTTTGCTTGTTTACAAATATACTCAAATAAAAAAAATTCAATCTCAACTCAGACTCACTTTTTAACTCAACCCCATTGCTTTCAATCATCTATCTCTTACTTTTACATCAAAACAATTTTAATCATTTTATTTTAAATACTATTTTAATAAAGATATAGAATTTCAGTAACAAAATTTTTAACTCAACCCCATATCACATCAGCTTTAATTCACTATTCATCCACTTACATAATTTTAACAATGTATTGCTTTCTCTCATCTATCTCCTACTTTTACATCAAATCAATTTTAATCAATTTATTTCAAATATTATTTTAATACAGATTTAAAATTTCAGTAACAACTAACCGTATCAACTATTTCAAAATTAATCATGGTTAACAAAAAAAAAAAGGAACAAACCAAATACCAATATATTTGTAAACAAGCAAGCCCTCATTTTTTTTGTTAGCTAAAGATAATAAGTGTTATGTCCAACACTTTTACTACCTGGCATCAATAATTTCAAGCAACTTGTTCTGGTATTTATTTCCANGTTAAGCGCTTTCCTTACGTGAATCTTAGTGGCTGTCTTTGGGTCTATGAAACTCTTTACGGTATTCCAGAGTAGCCTAAAACCTGGACCGGCATTAATGATAAACATTTGATGAAGAGTCTGCAAATCGAAAGGATAACGAGTGAATATACAATGCAAAATTAAATAAATAAATAAACATCAATAAATGAGAACGCTACAGAAAATCATGAACAACTTTACCTCAGGATAATTATCGCCATCAATCTTCTGGAGGCGCGTGATGAGCTCACGAGCACTCTTGGTAAAGTTTTTCAACCCCTGATAAACAATAACAAAACAAAACAAAACAAAACAAAAAAATCAAACTACTCAAAACTAACGAAAGAAAGTTGAATCAAAAGTCAACAATTGTGGAACATAACATACCACGCCTTGAACGTCTAAAATTGTCGTGCTTGAATCAATGTGCCGTTTTGCAGCTATGGTGCAAGCTGGAAACTTAATGGCAAAACTTCTCTCGAATTCTTTCACATGGTATCTAACATAACGGTCCATTGTCGTTACTTGCATAAGTTTATTTGCATCAACTTTACCCAGCCTCTCAATGTATATTGGTCTTCCCTCTTTATCAACCCCATGATAGCCATGAGGGTAATACTTCAAAACCTCACTCAGCTCTTTGAATTCAAAATCCTGATTAGAAAATATATATATATATATATATATATATATATATATCATTTAACTGGTTTTCGAGTAGGTACTACAAGGGATTGGATCGTATGTTAATTACCTCGAGAATAGTATCAGTACCAAATTCTCTCCTCCACTGAATCATATCAGCCCACATGAGCTTAGCTTTTTCGATATCAAACTTTCTTGCTTTCAGAAACCTACAAGTGAATTTCTCAAATTCAAAAGTGCACAAAGAACATGCAAAAGACATCAAGATTTATCCATCACTGCTGAAAAAGTACATTTCAGAGCAGCAAGTTTATAGAAAAGAGAGAACGCATGTCAAATCTGAATCATAAAATTGTCAATTTTATTTTTTTTTTTTGAAAAAAAAAGGTGGTTATAATTTTCTCCCGGGAAATGAAAGAAAGACTCCTTAATATTAATAATTTCTCAAAATTCAAAACTGAACAAAGAACATGCGAAAGACATCAAGATTTATCCATCACTGCTTATAAAGTACATTTCAAAGCAGCAAATAGAAAAGAGAGGACGCATGCCAAATCCGAATCATAAAAGTGTCAATTTAGAAAAAAGGGTGGTTATAAGTTTTTTCCAGGAAATGAATGAAGGACACCTTAATATTAATAATATCTCAAAATTCAAAACTGAACAAAGAACATGCAAAAGACATCAAGATTTCTCTATTGTCGCGTTAAAAGTATATTTCAAAGCAGCAAATTCATCGAAAAGAGAGAAAGCATGCCAAATTCGAATAATAAAAGTACAAATTTATTAACAAAAAAGGGTGTTTATAATTTTCTCCCAGAAATGAACGAAAAAACACCTTAATATTAATAATTTGCAGTTCAAAATTTCTGTAATCCATGAGCATTTTTGAGTTACCACCATAAAATGCAGACAAACTATACAATAATCTAGCTAATGCATAAACTTTACATTGAGGTTAACCATTTTTTCATCAGTCAAATGAGGAGTTCAAAAAGATGAAGGCAGTTTTTTAAAAGAAAATTTAGCAACTGTCAGAATATTTACCTCAACATCATATGGTAATCATCAAATTTCTCAGGTAGCAACTCATCCAATATCAAGGCTTGTCTAAAAGACTCAACAGCTTTAAGTTCCTCAGCATCTCGGATATCCTCAATCGAGACAGAACTGACTCTACCATCACTCTTTCTCCGGCCGCCTTTTTTCTTGAGAGAGTGTTTGAACTTGGTAGATGCATTGAGTGCTTTCTTTTTCAAAGAACCAATCCTCGTTCTCCTTTCATCCTCAGAATTTTCGAAATCGGACTTTCTTTCCTTTCTCTCATCACTGCCAGATGAACCATCAAAACCTGTTTTTCATTGGACGAAATTAGGAGAGACATTTAATTAATAACTCCTTAAAATGGTAAAAGAAATGTATTTCACAATATGATACGAATAAACTAGTTTTCACAAAATCAGTTAAACTGGCAACTGAAAGGTAATGATTTACTCTTTCAAACAAAGGGAATATATGATTGTTCAGAACTCGAAACTTTGAAAATTTAGGAACCATTTTTACTCTAACCGGGCACACTCATCGGTGATTGAAAGCAGAATTTAGACAATTTTTTTATCAAAAAGGACTGTCAAGATGATCCTGTTCAAACACACCAAACTAACAAGGCGAGATATGATAAATCACTTCAATTTTGTGCAGCTCTGAGATAGACTAGTTTATAGCAAAAACAATAACCCTAGATGCACAAAGCTGAAATCTACCAAAAATGCAATAAATCGTAATGCAGCTGAAAGGAGTCGATAAATCGTTCAAAGTTCCACTCACAAGGCCTGGCAAATCGATCCAAGGGTCCTGACATTGTCAATTTTGATCACCAGCAGCAAACTGTTGATGATCAAAGCGCTTATCGATTAATGAACAAACCAAGCCAACTATCTGTTAACTGAGGAACAAAACAAAGAACAATATTGTCAGCAAAACGAGCAATTTTCACGCCGAACAAAGAAAACCCATAGTTCTTTTTCAGATCGGAATATCAAAACCCATGAGCTTCTCTAAATTAAATTCAAACCTCCAAAAACACAGCCCAGAATCACGAAATCAATCAAACGGTCGTAATGCATCAAAATCCGCGAGGCGTAAAAGCTTAAACAAACCAAAGAACACAATTTTCAGTAAAATAATCAATTTTCAAAAGAAAGCCCATAATTCTTTTTCAGATCGGAGTGTCGAAACCCATGAGCTTCTTCAAAAATAAATTCATACCTCAAAAAACACAGCCCAGAATCACGAAATTAGTTAGATGGATAAAACAAAACAAAGAACACAATTTTCAGTAAAATAATCAATTTTCACCCCAATCAAGAAAAAACCCATAATTCTTTTTCAGATCCAAATGTCAAAACTCATGAGCTTCATTAAATTAAATTCCGACCTCCAAAACACAGCCCAGAATCACGAAATTCAACAGACGGCCGTAAAGCAACAAAATCCGCCTCGGCAAAAGCTCAAACAGCTCAACAGACAGCGACAGAGAAAAAGAAATCAAAATAAAAGACAGATCGCCGGAAAATCAATACGACTTTTGTATCGCCGGAAAAATCAGAGCAGAGGCGATTTCAAATCGCAAAGAGAGAGAGAGAGAGAGAGAGAGGCGAAAGAGAGACCAAGTTGCAGTAGGTAGTATTGTGAGAGAAAGAGGGGATAGTGGGGCCGGGACACGTGGCTGGCGCGTGACGGGAGGACGAAATCAGGCGATGTGCCGCCGGTGAGGATAGCAAAAAGGCCAAAAGGATATTATGAACAGTGATTATACAATCATAATATTCGGTGCCGTGATTTCTGTACAGTGCGCTGCAGTTTGAATAGGTAAAGGAATGAGTCTGGGAATGCGCATGATTTGGCGCATGATTTGGCGCACAAGACCCTGTCGGTAAGTGGAATTATGAATCCGATTTTATTTTCTTATTTTTTTCAAATAAAAAAAAAGCTAAAATATTTTTAATACAATTTGCTTCTATCAAGAAACAATATTTTTTGCTTTTTGACTCGTTTGAATAAAGTGATCTTCTTGCTTCTTGTACTCGAGCTCCGAGCTTCTAACAATCTGAGTTCAACTCGACCTATTAGTTAACGAGTCAGTGATTGAATTTGAGCTCCAGGTTGTTAATTAGTATTAATAAGTCGAATTCAAATTTAACGAGTCAGTGATTGAATTTGAGCTCCAGGTTGTTAATTAGTATTAATAAGTCGAATTCAAATTTAACGAATTAAATTATAAAAAATTATAATAAAAATAATGAGCTGAGTTGGGATCACTAACTGAACAAGCTTTATTAAAAGATTTGGATCGAGATTAAGAATGGCCCGTCTCGATAAAAATATATAACTATGCTATGAATTATAAAATGTAATGTTTTTATGTTGCTTTTTTTTTGTAAATAAATTCAATTTATGAATATCCAAATATGTTAGAAGGATATAATTGTTATCTAACTATTAAAATCTTTTTTAACCTGGAAAATGCTGCTTGAATAGTCTCATGTTTAAGTGCAATTCAGGTAAGTAATCTCAATTAGTGAGTAGTATTAAGATGGAATATTACATTTTTAAATAATAATTTTTCCTTATAAAAACACACTAGTACAATACCCTGTATTACACGGGTGCTTGTAACAAAATTTGTTCTTAAAATTTACTATTAATGAGAAAAAGTTTTTAAAATTTAAATACATTTTTACAAAAAAAATTATATTATTATATATTTTATAATGACACTTGTTACTTGTTGACTTACATGTGTTATATTATAATAATTTTCTAACTTATATCATATAAATACTTGAAACATAAATATATTAATTGATAAATAATTATATTTTTTTAATTAATATTAACAAATAATTTTATTATTATTATATAGATAAATATAATTTATTTATTTTATATATACAATATGGATGTTAAATCGAAACTCATCAAGCGATGATAATTTAATATATTATATATATATATAACTGATAAAAAATACAAAAGTTATGAACTTTTAAAATACATTTACAATTCAATATGGTTATAATAAAAAATGATATTAAAATACAATTAATACATGTAACATGACCATAAATAATTAACATATTTATGGATAATCCGAACATAATTATTTCTGAATTAAGAGTAAATTAAAATTTATTCAAACCAAATAATGAAGCATGAAATTTTACCACATAAGATTGTGAAACATGCGAGTCTGTCACTTAGCTCAACACATTCGATAAGTATATATAAAAAAGATATATAAGAGATATTACCTCAATCAAATAAATTATGGACAACAATATTGATTGATCCAATTGGTTGATGAATCAAGTAACGAAGAATAAAATTAAAATAACCTCTTCTTGTGTTTACCTGCTCCAAAGTACCACTCAATTTAGTTATTTAATATAATGTTTAATATCAGATTTGATATTATAATACAAGTATCGTATTATATAATGTTATCAACCAAATTTAAAATATGATATACTTATGACAAAAATTCTATGGAGTCATCGGATGATTTTCTTATGGAGTCATCCACCACTTAATGTATTGACACGTGTCTAAAGTGTATTTATTGCAGGACACGTGTCAATAAACTATTGGTAAATAAGTGTGGATGGCTCCATAAGCCGAGCCATTCGATGACTCCATAGCAAAACTGATACTTATGAATAGTATAAATCTATACTTATATTAAAAGGTATCCCATTTACCAAATTCAGTATAAAAAAAAAGTCAAAGGTAATTAATGTTTGCTAGAAATAGAATGACATTAATTACAGATTTATTTTGGTATTTATAGCTTGACATTAAAGATTTGTTATGGGATAAAAATCAGAACCGATTTTTTTACCTTTGCTGGAAAAGTCAAATGTAAGTATAGATTTGTTTTATTCCATAACATCGGTTTAGTTAAAAAAATCTCATAAAATCGGTTTTAATGTCAAACCTATAAATAAAGATTTAATCGATTTAATAAATCAGATTTAATCGGTTTTAATAATTGCATAGAATTTCAAAGTTGTTATTTATTGTAAAAAAATTAAATTCTAAAAAAATATTTGTGTATTTTGTAAAATGTTTGTACAAAATGTTTTACTTTAAATTTATTTACATAATTTAAATTAATTACATTAATAAATAATATGAACATACATTAAATATTTTAATTACATAAAACAAAAAGAAGAAGAAGATTATATTTATAACTTATAATAATAATGACATTATACTACAATAAATTTTATAATGAAATAATATAAGTATTATACGAAGAACAAGATTATGTAAAATTGTTATTTTTCTTATATCAATAAATAAATATATAGTGAAATCAAATTTATATTATTACGTGCTAGTGATGATTATTAGACCACATGGATTAGTCTCTGTTTGGTTAGCGTTATTGTATTCTATAAAAGTAATAATTAAATAATTGAATCTAATTTAGTACAATTTGATTGTTTCGTGTTGACTACAATAATAAAAGTATGAGTCAAACTAAGATATACGAATTATAATTTCTTAATATAAATGTACAATATTGACCATATAAACTAGATAGTGTTAAAGAATTATCGTAACGTAACTATAACTAATCACGTAATCTTAAATTTGATGTTTTCATATGTTAAAAAAATTGCATTACATAAAATTAAAGAGCTTACACACACACA